CTTGACGGCAGCGACCCCTCAGTTACTTTGGGGTTTAGGGTTTAGGGCTTGGTTTAGGGTCTGAGATTTGGGGTTTATAATAGGGTTCAGGGCTGTGAGAGATTATGGGGTTCAGGGCTTAGAATTCGGTGTTCAGGGTTTAGGGCTGATGGTTCAGGATGCAGTGATCCTAGGGCTCCAAAACCCCAAACTAACATCGAGGTCTCGAGGTTAAACGTAGGTATTGCCTGAGGACAGAAGCCGGAGAGAAATTCTGGTGGTGGTGGTGGTGGTGGTGGTGGTGGTGGTGGTGGTGGTGGTGGTGGTGTCATCCAATATAATCCCCTAATCTGTCGCGGACATTCCCAATGCTTATCCCTTTGCAGACAAGAAGGCCAGAATATGCTTCGTTTCCACGCTACCCTCCTGCAATGGGTCTATGTTCGCTAGATGCCCTTCTTCACAGGGGTAGATTTGGCAGCCCTGTACAGATTTCTCGTTCATGGCTTTACGGCTTTACATGTATCACGTAGGGATTCAGGGTAAGCTAAAATACTTTTCACGTTCAAACCTACTCCTGCTCAGGGGTCAGCCATCTTGCGTCCGGCTTTCGGTTACAAGCCAGGGATCAACGCTTGCTTGAGGCTATAAGATGGCAATATAATATACATATGGGATGTAGTGGCCATTGGGCTTCAATTCTGCAGTAAGTGCACTCTAAAGCTAGAATGAACTTCACGACCGGAAACGCGAAAGCATCAGCCTACTACATGTCAGCTCCAGATTCCTTGAACCTTGAACCCTCAACCCAAATCCTTGTTTTAAACAGCCAGGTGGGAGGGCAAACATACAAGTCCCAAGCGTACAATGGTTGCCAGGGTGAAGAGGCGCGGTGCAGCATGGTTGAGACATGGTGCCGAGATGAGGAGAGGGCCGCAGAAACTTGGACAGTTCAGGGACGAGGGTCCAGGGTCTAAGGATTACTGGGCTGATGTTAAGGAACTCAAGGTATCGTAAGGTGGATACATGGTCACCAGTGACAGGGGTTCCTTTAAACGGTAACTTAAGCAAGCTTCCGGATCTAACCCAACTTACTCGTGGGTATAGTCCCCCTTAAGTAGATAGAATATGGCTTTGGCTATACTAGAATAAGATCCCCATATTCTATCTACTTAAGGGGGACTATATACGGATTGCCCACGCAAGGCATGAGAGTTAGGGCTTTGGGGTTCAAAGTTTGGGGCCTGCGGTGCGGGATTTAGGGTGAAGGGTTTGCGGCTTCAGGTTTTAGGTAGTGTTTAGAGTTTAGGAGTGGGGTAAGGGTTACTGATTCTGGCAAGGGCTAAAGGTTTAGGATTGGGGGTCTGGGGGGTTTAGGACAGCCGCGTCCAACACTGCAGGGCCCGCCAAAAAGTGAATTAGGCATGATGTTTGGGAATGCGTAGCAGGGAGCCTTTTGTTGTAAAGTTACTGCATGGGGCCTAAGTTCTGCGAAGATGACGCCTCATCAGCGGCTTGCCTTGAATTTCCCCTATGGTATGTTTTAGATCTGTCCTATGTGATTTCCTAACCCCAAACCATATAGACGGCCCGCTTTTTCCACCCAGGTTTCCAGGTGGATCAGGGCTACGGAAAACAATTGCTTCAGAAGTGCAATGGCTGTAAGAGACTAGTGAGATGAAGCGCATGGACTTGAAATGTACGACCAATGGTTCCAGTCCTCCGTCCTAGCAGGACTAGCAGTGTTTTTGAGTGCTGCTGGTGTCAGTGTCGGAGATGTTGCTGTCAGCGGCGTTGGGATATTGTTGGCAGCAGCACCAGTTGCAATAGTCGGAGAAGCAGCAGCAGTAGCAGCAGAATAATGAAGTGATATAGTAATATATGATGGTAGCAAGCTACTTCAGTTGTTGCCGACTCTGAGGGCTCATCTCTGGGCAGCCCTGCCCAATTCTAGGCAGCATAGTTCACGAAGCCCCACGACACCAGCAATCATGGCACCCTTGAAGTAGCCGAGGAGCGCCTGGGCGGGGACGAAGCACTGCATGAGAGAGAAGCGGAGCGGATGCTCACAGATGTGCAGGAGCTCTCAGCAAAGCGCCATCTTCTGCAAGGTCGTCTTGGCCAGGGTCGGCAGACGATGTACTGGGAAGCGGCACCGTTCCTAGCAGTGGAGGACGGCAAGCTGCTGCGCCAGCGGGAGGAGCTGCAGAAGTATCGCAAGAACATCCAGAGGCTGCAAGAGCAACTGCGCTACCAAGAGTCCCAGGACCACGCCAAGAGAAATGCTGCTGCCGCCGCTGTGACCAGCGAACAGCAAGCACACGAGTCTGAGAAGCGGCGCCGAGAGCACAGTTTACATGAGCTGCTGAAGCTGCAACAGAAAAATTCTGCAAAAGCAGAGACCGTGGCCCAGCCTAATTAGGATGTCTTTGTCATCACGTTTTGGAAGTTCCTTGAGCTGTCGCATGAGTTTCGTGCCTCCCAAGTTGGAGACCATGTGGTATCCACTTATTTTGTGCCAGCAAGCGGACTCAGGAGCAGAATGATCGCCCGGAAGGTTCCTGTTCCGAGATCGACCAGTTGTAGCCGGATCAAATCATGTGAGCTATGGTCTAAACTCCTCAAAGGGGGCTATATAGTGCATTACATAGGGGAGTACCTTAGGGGATACAAGGGGGATACTTGGAGTTTGGAGTACAGCTCGTGTGTTCGTTGGTTGCCAGTGTTCATTTGAGTTCACTTTGGTCCACTGCACACAAATTAAGTACAGCGCTCCGTCCCCTCCGGGCACCCCTAAACCCGCAGCAGGGCATCTGCCTTTTTCTACACCCCACAAAGTATAAACTAGTAATATGAAAAGCTTCAACAACCGCAGACAAGCTAATGGCTGAGAAGTAGGAGCATTTGGGGGGTCTGCAAATTGTGGATACTTTTCTGGGCGTCCCCCTTGCAAGGGTTATAGTATTTGGGGTCGATATTGGGGTTAGGGAGACTGCCATATGAGTAAATCGTGGGAAATCTTTCAGGTTTGGATTGGAGCTTCCTGTTCTCTTCCAAGTTCCCAATCAGGTTGATGGCTTAGGGATTCATGGCTCTGTGATGGGCCTACCATACCCCCATGAACAGCCTCCTTTCATTTCCCGAATAGCGTATATACACAGCACTGGTCACAGCACCATTATCCTCATTTCTGCGACCCCCCTGAAAAAGGGGTCATTTCAAGTCAGGCATCTCACCGAGCAGCACCTCTTGGAGCAAATCGCTTGCTTGGAGGCAGAAGCAGAAAGGCAGGGTTTTGGGGTTATAGTCCCCCTTAAGTAGATAGAATACGGGGTATATGGGGATCTTTTTATAATATACCCAAAGCCACATTCTATCTACTTAAGGGGGACTATAAGGTTTCAGGGTCTAAGTCACAGAGCGAGGTGAACGGGTCGTAGTGCAGGTGATAGGTGAAGACTTGGCAAGTATAATTGGTACGGATAACCCAATTAGAACCAAATTAGGGGACTTAAGGGGCCGTAGACTTGGGATAAGAGTGCAGTAGAGGCATAAGTACATACCCTGAACCTCCAAGTAAGGCCGTTTGAAAGAGGGCCTTAGCCTCGAAAGTCTAGGGTTTAGGGTTTGGGGTTGTAGGGCTGAGCACAGTTTGCTGAGAACGTGGGAGAGAGAGAGAGAGAGAGAGAGAGGGCTCAGCTTAGATTGGGGGGCGCGGCCTGACCTTCAACACCTACACCCTGAACCTTAACACACGAAAACCCCTGACGCCTAAACATCTAACCCCATGACCATACAAACCCAAACTAAACTCCAAAAATCGAAGCCCAGACACCTAAAACCCGAAACCCCCCAAACCCTAGGCCCTAAACCCTAAACCCTAAAATCCTAAGCCATTTGAGGTCCCGGCCTCAGGCAGAAACTTTTGCAGAAGCTCTGCTCGGCGCTGGTGATCGTGTCCTGAGCCAAATGAAGGCCCAAGGGGCCAGAGAGAACCTTCCTAAACCCTAAAAACCCTAAGCCTGTATGTGATTATGAATACCAGTACTAAATACTAATAGTAATACTAACACTAGTATTAAAATTAGCACTAACACTAAATACTGATGACTAATACTAAATTCATACTAATACCATTTGTTGTGTTTTGGGGGGCTCCGGGGCTTTCCAGCTGCATGTCAAGTTTCAAGCCTTCCAAAACAGCGCAAGGATAAAGGGATGAGGGATGGCGATTTGCGGCTGGGCGCCGAGATGGGGTCTTCTAGGGTCTAGGTTAGGTATTGCCCCCACCCAGAAACAGTCCATATTAGGGGTCCTATTAAGGGCTATATAACCATATTATAGTTATTCTCCAACTGTTAGTGAGGGGGGTCAGTACTGAAGGTCTAGGGTTTGGGGTTTAGGATTTAGGCTTTAGGGCTTAGGATTTAAGGTTTTAGGGTTCAGGGTTTAGGGCCTTTTTTTGGAGGAAATAGGCTGCCGCTGAGGCCTCATTGCGACTATGTGGCTATGTACTGTAAGTTACGATCCTCTACCTTCAGATGGTGACGTCTGAAGTGAGCAATTATTTGACCCTAACCCCTAAACCCTACATCCTAAACCCTAAACCCTAACCCCCCTAAACCCCAACCCCCCTAAACCCTAACCCCTAACTCCTACACGGAATGGGGTGGAAGGCATCTAATCGCCCCAGGAGGCGCTGATGACCGACTTGGGCTTGGCGGAGCAGCTTCAGGCTTCCCTCTATTTAGGATTTAAGGGTTTAGGGTTTAGGGTTTAGGGTTTAGGATTTAGGGTTTAGGGTTTAGGATTTAGGGGTTAGGGTTTAGGATTTAAGGTTTAGGGTTTACAGGGTAAGGTTTAAGGATTATAGGGTTTAGGGTTTTAGGGTTTAGGATTTAGGGTTTATAGGGTAAGGTTTAAGGATTATAGGGTTTAGGGTTTAGGATTTAAGGTTTAGGGTTTATAGGGTAAGGTTTAAGGATGATGATGGGGTTTAGGGTTTTAGGACTTAGGGTTTAGGATTTAAGATTTGGGATGTAGGATTGGGAATTTCGGGTTTAGGATTAAGAGTTTAGGATGTAGGGTTTTCAGACTTATGGCTTGGGGCTTCGGACGTAGGATGTAAGGGTTTTGCATTTGGGGCTTACTCTCCGGGCCTATTTAGGGGCAAAACAGGAAATAGTGGCAAATCAAATGGACAAGACGATGGAACATGAACGGACCACAGGTTTCTTCTGGGATGAAGAGGGATAGCTATCTGTATTGTGGTTGCAGATGCGAAGCTGGGAGCAGGGGATTGGTATCTCCATACACGCAAGGTTTGAGAGCAGTTGCGTTTAGGGGTCTGGACTCAACGGGAATGGTTGTGATAGCAGTCGTAGAAGTAGGAGAGCCGTACCAATCCTACTCGCGTATGTATGTAGAGGTATTCCAGGTAGGATGGCAGTGATGAGAGCTGCAGTAGCTTATCCCCTTGTAAGGATCACTGGAAGAGACGACATCCACCACTAAGTTTCCTAATTTTTGGCTGTGCGAGACTTCGTCAAAACAATCCCTAAGTCATCCCTCAGCAGACCGCGCTTATGTCCTCGCAGTCACATACCGAAACCTCTCCTGCTCGATGTATAGTATATGCAGGTAGCACTGTACAAACTTCTGCGTACATGCTCACACACACATTCTACATACATATGAATATACGAGTGTGTATACTGACCCTAAACCCCCTAAACCCAAAACCCCTAAACCGCGTGGCTCTGGGAGGCCACTCTAAAGGAGCTGGAGCAGCGCTCTGAGCGCGAGCGCCGCGCCAGGGAGGAGCTGGAAAAGCGCCTGGAACGGGCTGAGGCTAGAATGCGAAGGGTAGGGTTTAGGATTCAGGGGCTGCATAGGGTTTAGGGCTCAGGGCTTGTACCGGGCTTAAGGATTAGGTTCAGGATTTAAGGGTTCAGAGGCTGCTTTGGGATTACGGATTTGGGCTTTAGGGTGTGCGGCTCAGGGTCTGAGAGTTTACGGCGGTAAGGTTTAGATTTTCAGTAAACTTGCCAAGCCCCGTGATTCTGCAGGTATTTCTGGACCCTCCTCACCAAGACCATTCTATAGGGTTTCGAAGTCCCTGAAGGCCAAGGCCAAAAGCCTGCAGAATTGCAGCCAAGGTACACTGACCTTGCAGTTCAAAGGTACCATGCATGACCGTAAGGACTAAAGGTTTCTTTGGACGCAGCTAGTTCCTCAAGCCATAATAGGCGCCCAGAACACAGGGGTAATGGAAAATCAAATGGACACAACTATAGTATATTAGGGTTATAGAGGGATAATGGAGAATAGAATGGAAACTACTCTTTAGGGTTTAGGGTTTAGAGTAAGAGAACATTTAACTAATGAATCCTGACCTGTGGCTCCAATAACCTACAGTTTAGTAGTAAGTACCCCTTAATTAGTAGGTATAACCCATAAAACTGTAGGTTATTGGGGTTACAAAGATACATGCTTGGTGCACTCCTGCCAAGCCAGGGGACCGGTGACTTGGATGGTCACGAGATCATCGCAGAGTTCCTCCGCGCTGAGCCACGCTCGCCCGCGAATTCGAACATGCCTGCTTATCATTAGCCCAGAGGATCCAAGTACCCAATACTTGGGGTGCCTTTAAAGGGGATACATAGGGGTATATAGGGATGTATAGGGTTTAGGGTTTAGGGTCCAAGTTCCCAATAATTGGGTACTTGGGTCTTGGGTAATAGTAAAGGTACAGGTTGTAGGCAAGCATGTTATTTGGCACTTGGACCCTCAGGGTAGGGTTTGGGTGGAGTCTGACGATCTTGATGAGCCCAATTTTCAAGGGACCATAGCATGTCGATCTGCGTATGATATTTTTCGTGCAACAAGAGACAGGTGGTGATGAGGATGCTGAAGATGATGAGCATGGTGATGATTATGAGTTATGATGGTTATTTTTTAATTAGTAATAGTAATAGTGCTTGTCGTTCAGCACTTCGGTCCAGTCGGCAGTTGCTAATTCCGTTCTGAGTTGGTGCAATTAGAAGGGTTGAGTGACACGGAGCAGCAGAGACCTCAAGATCGCAGACCTCAAGCTCCCAGACCCAGAGGGTCCAAGTACCAAATAATTAGGTACTTGGGTTTTGGGTAATAGTAATTATAGTAAAGGTTGTGGGTAAGTATATGATTATTCGATACTTGGACCCTTAGGGAGTGCCCAGACCCAAAGATTTGTGAATGCCGTTTGGATTCATTTTGCACTCAGCGCGTGCCTCTTGGTTAGGTGAGCAGGGCTATGCAGACTTTGTGCTAGCCAGGGACAAGCAGTGAATTTAGAGGGTAGTGAGGTACTTATCTTGATTCATGTTCTTGAATTAGGCTTGGGGTAGATGCTACGGCCGTGTA